GAGAGAATCATCAATGAACTGCAAGCCGATATTTACCCTGCGACAGACTCTTAATATTCAGAGCCAAGTGGAATTCGATGACTTCGCAACCTTTACCCCCCCCGATGACAATCCTGAGCAAATGCAACCGGACGATGCCCCCCACCCCCCGGCGGACGCGGATAGAGCGAGACGCGGTGCGAAACGTGGCACGAGAGGCGGAAGAACAGGGCTACGCAATAAAGGGCCATCAAGTCAAGTTCGCCCAACAAGGCGTCGCAATCGCCGTGCTGATCAGTTTTGCGTTTACACTGGTTCGGACGAGCGACGGACACCGATCTTCGCAGTGGAGTTCAAAGCCCCTCATAAGCTAACGGTTACGGATCTACAGACAGGCTTGCATGAGATGGACTTGGAGCGCGATGTCATTAATCAAGAGGGCGACACTTTTGAGTTTTATGCCACCCATCTTGTTGCTGCCGTAGCCACTCAGATATTCTCATACATGCATGACTCGGGAGTTGCATACGGTTGTATTCGGACAGGGGAGGCTTTTGTCTTCCTACATATTCCTGCTGATCCAACAGTACTTGAGTACTTTTTGTGTGTCCCAAATAAAGATGTGTTGGAGGATGATGAACACCGCCTCCACCGGACTGCCATTGGTCAAATGCTTGCATTCACCCTTCAGGCACTAGCTGCTGAACCTCCATCCCAAGAATGGAAGGAGACCGCCGATAAAGAGCTTGCTACTTGGGAGGTTGAATACTTAGACGTCTTACGTGGTATCCCCGAAACTATTCGCAAGGAACCGCCACCCTCCAATTATCGGCCCTCACACTGGAAACCGGTTCTAAAAAAGCATAATACACGTTCCCGTGCTCGCTGTAAACAAGACGCATCCACCCCGCACGGCTCACCAAATGAGGATAGCAGTAGTGATGGGGACATACCTTCACCGACTCCTGCACCAATCGTGGGCAGTCGATCAAGACGCGGGAATAAGGATTCATCAGCTGGTGGGCGGGCGCATTCCACCACAAATAAATCCCAGGCTTACTCTCGCACGGAACGACCTTCCTACCCGTATTGTACCGTGGCTTGTATTCGTGGTTTGATTAACAAGGATATTCTAGATGAGAAATGCCCCAACTTTGAACAGCACCGCGGCCCAAAGCATCCAATTAATGCGCTGGAATTTAAACGCATGCTGCATCAGCAACTTGTCCAGGATCGAGAAGAGGGATTCGAACCGTTGGATATCCGGGGCCGGACGGGCTATATCATAAAGGCAACTCTATTGTCTCACGGGTATACTGTAGTCATCAAGGCAACCATAGAGGAGAAGAAACACAGGCTCCAAGAAGAAACCAACAATTATCGCCGCCTCCGAAGCCTTCAGGGATATCAGATTCCTGTCTGCTTAGGCGCCTTTACGCCCAGAGTCAAATACTGGTACCACGGTGACATCATGACATATATGATGATACTAAGCTGGTCTGGTGCTCGACTTTCAGTTCGTCGTCAACGACGCAATTATAAGTTTTTTTCAAGGAAAAGCGCGACAAGGCTCTGGCCGTCCTCCTATCGAATGGCGTTAAGCACAAGGGACAAAGAATGGC